TTGGTAGCCCAGACTGGCCTCGAACTCACAGAGATCCGCCTGGCTCTGCCTCCCGAGTGCTGGGATTAAAGGCGTGCGCCACCACCGCCCGGCTTGCAGGGTGTTTTCTTGATTGGGACTGATTTGAATGTGGGGGCCTGAATCCCTTGCAGGAAGCACTACCTCTGGGCAAGTAGTCCTGGGTTATATAAAAAAAGCAAGCCTGGGCTGGAGAGATGGCTCAGTGGTTAAGAGCACTGGCTGCTCTTCCAGAGGACCCAGGTTTGATCCCCAGCACCCACACGGGAGATCACAACTGTCTGTGATTCTAGTTCCACAGGATCCAGTGGATCTGCAGGCACTGGGGGAATGCACTGTGGTGCACAGACATGCTTGTAGGCAAAGCATCCACACATATAAAATATACACAAATTATCAATACTAACAAAAAAGGCAAGCCGAACAAGCCGCAAATCAGTAAGCAGTGCTCCTCACGGTCTCTGCCTCAGCCCTGCCTTGACTTCCCTCAGTGTTGGCCAATGACCTGGAAAGTATAAATTCAAATAAATCTTTTCCTCCCCAAGTTGCTTTTGGTCATAATCACAGCAACAGAAAGCTAAACAGGATCCCATGTGAACCCGGGGACCAGAGTTCTGATCTTTGGCACCCATATGAACGCTGGGCAGATATGACAGGCTACTTGTAATCGCAATGCTTAGAAGTGGAGACAGGCATCCTGAAGTAAGCTGCTTAGCTAGTCGGCACGATCCTGGATCAGTGAGAGACCCTACCTCAATACATACAGTGTAGTGTGACCTCTGACCTCCACACTCAGGCACATATGTGTATGCATACCTGCCCACATACAATTCGATCTCACACACACATACATGTGAGGCAATGTGGCACACACCCTAGGCTGTCTGCCAGCTTGTGATGATCCTCTTCCCTTGGCCTCTTAAGTGCTGGGATTACGGGTGGATTGCCATGTTTGACTTAGTGGTCTTTATTTTTTCCTCTTTGGAGACAAGGTCTCCATAGGTACACCAGGCTCATAGAGCTCACCTGCCTCTGCCTCCTGAGTGCTGGGATTAAAGGCACGTGACCCCAGGTTGACTACATTCCTAACCCTCTCGCTGTCTGGTCAGAAGCACGTCAAAACATCACATCACCCAGAGAGAACCGCAAGGGAACTCACAACCATGAGGAGCTTTACCCTCCCGCGTGGTTTATTCACCCTGCCAACAGCAATCAACAGAGAAGGCCACACCCTGCTCTTTGACCCTGCTCACCCCCTCTTTCTTAGCCCTGGGCCACCCTCTCCTCCTGCGAAGACGCAGAGCTCCCCACAGGGACCCCCCTGCACCTTCCAAACAAAATCTACTCCTCCTGCCAACTTCTAGTCTCCACTGTCCCCGGGCTGTGGGAACCCAGGAAAACGACCTTACACTCTGAGCCTCAGACTTCTGACCTGCCAGGGGCCAGTGACAACATCTAATTCAGGACTTCATGGAGATCCAATTGGAATAACAAAGGACACATCCCTTAAGTTAAACCTTAGCATGGTGTAGGGCACACAGTAGGTCCTGGACAAATCCCTGAGTCTGGCTTTACCTCTTCCTTCCTCTTAGACTACTAACCCACCTACCCATTCCTAGGCTCCTCTGACTGGAGACTGCCACTCCTGAGGCAGCCAGCTCTCGCTCTCTGCCCACATCATGACTAATCGAGACTTACCCCCTGGGAATGCAAGTATTCCACAGTCTTGCTGATGGTATGCAGGACGAAGCTGGCCTCCCGCTCCGAGAAGAACTTCTGCCGGAGGATCTTATCCAGCAGTTCCCCGCCCCTCATCAGCTCTGTCACCAGGTACACGTGTTTGCCATCATCATACACCTGCCAGAGACCTCGTCATCAGCCTGGGACCCTCAACCACCAGATCTCCCGACAAGGAAACCTTAGGGCTGGGGTGCTGGGCCGCCACCCTTCTGGGCTGCCATCCCGCTGGAGAGTGGGCGCTGGCCTCATCCCTGATGGTTCAAGAGGGCTCAGAGAATGCCCGAGTCTGCAGGGGAGGGCGCAGGGACCCCTACCTCTTCTCATGAGCACTGGGAAGAGGCCCTGAAGTAAAAAACAAGGACCCCTCCCCACTCACATCCTTCAGGGTGATGATGTTGGGGTGCTGTCCATACCGCAGAAGAATCTCAATTTCCTCTGAGGGATCGCGTTTGCTCTTGTCGATGACCTGAAGAGAGGGGGGAACACATGTCAGGGGCCCAGACCCCACAGTCCGATTCTCTCCGCCATGAAGCCCATATCACAGGGCCAGGGAGAATCAGCACACGCCGTCGTAATCCACAGACCCTCCTATCAGAGTGCCACAGGAGCACTGGCCTCACCCCCAACCCAGCAGCCTTAGTCAGGATATGGTTGGGACGCCGACCTTGACAGCGTACTCCATGTTGGTGGCCTTGTGCACACAGCGCTTACACACGGAGTAGGAGCCCACGCCGATCGTCTCCTTTACCACGTAGCCATCACTGAAAACTAAGTTCTTCCCGTGGAGTTGCTGTGGAAGAAAGAGTCAGCTTGACCCCAGGCGCTACGGTCCAGGGGTCATCCCTAACATCATGCCTTGGCTCAGTGAAGAGGGCATGGAGAAAGGAGAGTCACAGGGCCTGAGTGTTATCTGTGTGACCTCAGTCAAGAACCTGCCCCTTTGTGAGCCTCAGTTTCTATTCTCTGCAATGGGCACGCTCACTGTAGTGTAGTCACAGGGTAGCCCAAGGGGGCGTGGGGACATGACAACACAGGACACAGCAAGATGGGACAGACCAGGAGAACCAGACACTGACAGTTTATGGTTTCAGAAGCCTGGGCAGACCTAAGCTGGGTACAAAAAGCAACTCTATCTTAAGTCTGCCATTTAATGCAGCTTTGACTAAGGGTCTCTGCTTCTTGGGGTATATGGGTCTATACCATCATGTCTCAAGGTTGGTATATACTTTACATAAAAAATATATACTGAGCCAGGCAACAGTGGTGCACACCTTTAATCCCAGCACTTGGGAGGTAGAGGCAGGTGGATCTACAGAACAAGATCCAGGACAGGCACCAAAACTACATAGAGAAACCCTGTCTCAAAAAAACCAAAAAAGAAGAAGAAGAAAAAAAAAGATTTATTTATGTACATAATGTATATGGGTGTTTTGTCTGCACACTGAAAGAGGGTATCAGATATCATGGGATTACAGTTATGGATGGCTGTGAGCCACCGTGTGGTTGCTGGGAATAGAACTCAGGACCTCTAGAAGAGCAACTGGTGCTCTTAACCTCTGAGCCATCCCTCCAGCCCTGTGGTTCAACATACCTTATGGACAACCCTGGCTTAGGCCTGCTAGCCTCACGTCTAGTCTGGTTTAATGTTTGTCCTGGATAAGGACATCCCAATTTAGGTAAGAAATTACTTAGTGGGCAGGGCATGGTGGCACATGCCTTTAATTCTAGCATTCCAGAGGAAGAGGCCTTTAGATCTCTGTGAATTCAAGGCTATCCTGGTCTACAATAAAGAGTTCCAGGGCAGACAAAGTATTTAACCTATTTAGAGAGACTCTGTCTCCAACAAACAAGGATTACATGGTGATCTTAACTTCACACATCAGCTCTGGAAAGCCTTATGGCCGTGTAGGAAGGTTCCATCATTACCCCAGTTGCAGACGAGAAAACTGAGGCCCAGGGGCCAGTGTCTCCTCTGGAGTCTGGTCACCTTGTAAGCTTTAGGCCCAGGCCATGAGCTCTGACGTCTACATTACCGCCTCTTAGCTGTCCACTTCCCATGGAGCAGTCCATGTACAGAGGAGCAAGTGTGAACACACAGGTCCCTGGCCCCGGTTCTTATCAGGGACACCTGAGCCACTCCCCATGCCACCCTCAGGGCAATCTCTGGCATTCCTCCTAAGAACTTTCTATCTCTGTTGCTGGCAGATAATCGAGGCCACAGGTGTCAACAACTGTGTTTCATGGATCGGTTTACACACGAGGACCGTGAGATCCAGGAGCCTGGAGGCTGTCTGGATCCCAGAGCAGTCTGACCTGTCCCGCTCCGGAGCCTGTGTTCTCGGCTCTTCTGCTTCTGGGTGGAAAAGGGCAACTGAGGCACAGTCCCCCATCTCCCTCACCTGGACCACTGAGTGCAGGGGAGCCTGAGTGGTCCGGGACTTGCCATCATCCTCCATCAGGCCAGTGGCCACGAAGCTGAATCCACGGAACAGCTGATGGGCACCAGCACTGGGGGGGATGCCTGGAGAGTCTGTCGAGGAGAGAAGGAGACATGCGGGTGAGGGGGTGCCCTTGATCCCAAGGCAGTCCAGCAAAGGGAGACTACGGGGATCCTGGCCTGCCTTAGCAGGCAGCCATGCCAGGCCTTTGCCTATCTGTTCACATGTGAGACTCAGTGGTATAGTACTTGCCTAGAATGCACCATGTCCTGGGTTTGATTCCCAGCACCACAAAAGAAATACACACATATACACTGTTAGGTCTCAGAGAAACCTGGGACAATTTTCAGTACCTGTGGGTCCCCCCCTCCCCTGGCCCTCCCAGCATCCTTTAGTACCTGTGGGTGCCCCCCCCCCAGCATCCTTTAGTACCTGTGGGTTCTCACAGCCCTCCCAGCATCCTTTAGTACCTGTGGGTTCTCCCAGCCCTCTCAGCATCCTTTAGTACCTGTGGGTGCCCCCGGCCCTCCCAGCATCCTTTAGTACCTGTGGGTTCTCCCAGGATTCCTCACGACGCCCCCTACCCTAAATCTCTTCCTCCCAGGGGCTTCCCTCCCCCCAGCCTGATTCCTAAATAATTCAGTCATTTTGGCTAGCTCAGTCTTGACCTCTTGCCCGGGCCACTCCTCTTGGTCAGCATCTCCTCTCTTGCTCTCCCTCCCTGTCTCTCCGCTCATGGTCTGGTTTAGTTTGCCGGCCATGTTCAGCCTGGACCCCTCCCTCCTATCTACAGTAAAGACCTCCTTCACACTTCAGGAGTAGTGTCTCCTCCACACTTCAGGAGTAGCGTGTCCTTCACACTTTGGAGTAGTGTGTCCTCCACACTTCGGGAGTAGCGTGTCCTCCACACTCTAGGAGTAGTGTGTCCTCCACACTCTAGGAGTAGTGTGTCCTTCACACTTCAGGAGTAGTGTGTCCTCCACACTTTAGGAGTAGTGTGTCCTCCACACTT